ACTAGTGAAAGTCGATGTATTCAAGTCGACTTGCAAGAGTCGACTAGACCAATTTCTGCTTCTTCTTAATTGCTCTTGGCAGACTCCGACCCTTGGGAAGTCGATTTGGGCATGTTGACGGAGTCATGTCGACTGCGGGTAGTTTAAGTGGTTCACTGGTTAAGCAAGGAGCTTCTGGATCGGGTTATCCTTAGTAGTAATTCTCCAAAGTTGCTTAAGTAACAAGGCTTCATTGAACAGTCTGTAATCTTGAAACCCAAGCCCTCCATGATCTTTGGGGAGAGTTAACGTGTCCCATTTTTTCCAATGGATGCCTTTAGTTTGTTGTTCTCCTCGACTCCACCAGAAAACAGTCGTAAAACGACTAAGCTCGTCACAAATACTCATCGGCAGTTTAAAACACGACATTACAAAAACCGGAAGTGCATTAATTACTGCTCGAATTAGTACCTCCTTCCCGACCGTAGATAGATACCGATTCTTCCAATTGAACAGTCTACTTTTCACTGTTGTGGGCACATACGAAAAGGCTTCTTTCTTAGACTGTCCAATACCAAGGGGCAGTCCGAGGTATCGGGTGGAGGTATGAGCTTGAATACCTTGCAGTAATTGGCAGATTCCATTCTTAAGGCCCTAATTTGAATTTTTGCTAAAAAACGCCGACGACTTCAATAAATTTACTCTTTGTCCCGAAAATCTTTGGTAAGTCCGTAATATTCTCTTCAGGACATAGACCTGTCCCATCTCCGCTTTACAGAAGACTAACGAATCGTCCGCAAACAATAAATGAGTTAATGTTGGACCTCCCCTCACGACCCTTAATCCCTTGAACTCTCCCATGTCTCCTGCTCCTTTGATTAGCGAAGAAAATACCTCCGATACAATAAGAAATAGATATGGAGATATCGAATCTCCCTGTCGCATCCCTCTCGTCGGATTGAGATACCCTACTGACTTTCCATTGACCAAAAAAGACATTGTGGTGGATGATATACAAGCAAAGACCCATTTCACGAACACCCTCTCGAAGCCCATTTTTAGCATAGTTTTACAAATACTCCCCCATTCCACTATGTCGTAGGCCTTTAGCATATCGAGCTTAAGAGCCTTAAAACAATTTGGCCCTGATCTGTGCCTGTTCAAATAATGAAAACTTTCCTGAGCGATTATAACATTGTCTAAGAGTTGTCGTCCCGGAATAAATGCTGCTTGAGCCGGGCTAATACAAACTTCCAGACAAAGTTTTAATCGACTGGCCAGAATCTTTGCAATCACCTTATAAACGACCCCACAAAGGTTGATCGGTCTGAAATGGCTAGTTGTTGTAGGGTTCAAGCATTTGGGTATCAACGCCACGAGAGTATGATTCCAGTATCGTAATAGTTGTCCACTTTCAAAAAAACTGATCACTGCCTTGCATAAATCGTCCTTAATCACCGGCCAAAAATGTTGATAAAATAGAGCAGTCATCCATCCTCACCCGGGGCTTTCGATGGGTTCATTTGAAATAAAGCAGTTCGAATTTCCAGCTCACCCACAGGGGCTTCTAATTTAGCATTCATGTCCGATGTAATCGCTGGCTTGATGTAGTGCAATGCTTCTTCCTCCATCATTGATCCCTCGGAAGCAAACAACTCTTCGTAGAATTTAAGAATATGTTCTTCAATCTCCTGTTGCATAGTCCACTCTCTATTTCCTTCGACCAACCTTGTTATGGCATTTTGCTTCCTTCTTTGTAAAGTCATGGGATGAAAAAATTTCGTATTGCGATCGCCTTCTTTTAGCCACAACATCCTGGATTTTTGCCTCCAAAATTGCTCCTCTGAACAATGTGCATCGTTTAACTCTTTTTGGATTTTTTCCCATTCATTCCAATTTCTATCGCCCCCCAATTTCCTCATTTCTTCAAGTTGTAGCGTAAGTTTGCCGATAGTCACTTGTTTTCCTGTGTTGAGTGTTCTGCTCCAGTTCAAAATGGCCTGCCTTGTTTGCTTAATTTTTTCTTTAAGGTTGAAAAAAGGTGTGCTCTGCTCCTCCATCTACCAAGCCGAACTCACTACTTCATCGACTCCTCCCTGCTTCAGCCATCGTTTATCGAATATAAATCTTCTTCTCCGACACCCCGGATTTTTTCCATCTTCTAAGACCAACAATGCATGATCAAAAGCACTTCTCAGCACACATTTGACAGATGCATGAGGGTGATTATTCAGCCAACTCAAGGAAGCAAACGCTGTATCTAAAACCTCTTCCACAAATCCCTCGTCCTCTCTATTATTACCCCACGTGAATTTATAACCCTCCATTCTCAACATAAACATACCCATCTGCCCAATAAAATTATTAAACCCCTGAAAACTTCTCTCTGATCGCACTAACTCCCTCTTCTTCTCCTCGCGACAACTAAGGTCATTCCAGTCGCCCAGAATAACCCAAGTTTCGCCCCAACTCCTTTTATCCTCCATCAAAATCCCCCATTGCTGCTCCCTTTCTATTTTCATAGTACTCATATAAACAAACACAATCCACTCAGCTTCTACCCCACCTGCCAATTTATATTGGACTTGAATACAAAACTCACACCCCTTCATAGATAGTACTTCTACCTCCTGCTCCCAACATACAAGAAGCCCCCCTCTCACACCCCTAGGTTCAACATAATACCATCCATTAGCGAAGCCCAAATTGCTACAGACCTTAGAAATATATTTTTTTGATTTTTAACTTCCGATAAAAATACAAAATTCGGGTGATGAGACTTAATTGTCTCTCGCAATTGGGGAACTGTAGAGGGTCCACCCAACCCTCTACAATTCCACACCACAGCCTTCATTGTCCTTTTGGGAGCCAATTGAGGCTGGCTTCCTCCACCGTAACGTCGATCAGTTTTGCTTTCTTCTTCCCCTCACTCCCGTGCTGCACTACATCTTCTTCCGCATCTAATGGGTTAGGCTCCTGTAGTTCTCTCTTCTTTCCTATAACAATCGGCATCTCCTTTTTGAGGGTGGTACTTTCAAGTTGTCTACTTTCGTTTCCTGATGTTCGCTTCCACCCTCTCGTCGTTTGAGCCTTTTGTCCAATGCTACGATAACCTTTTCGTTGACTTCCTGTGGGATGTAAAATCACCTCGTTCGCTATTGGGACCTCCTCTACTTGCATCACCTTAGTTGCATTAAGCTTTGGTTGATCTGTATGTCCACTCCCCTCTAATGTTGTTGGAATATTTAATTCCATCATAGGCAGAGGCTGAGTACCTTGAAAAATTGTATTATTAGACCCTTTAGTGTGGCTAGCCACTCTGCTTGTACACTCCCGTAGTTCAATTTCCTTTCCAGTACTTTGCTCTCTTGGCTCTGAACTGTCCGGATATTTCTCTTTTAATCCCCTGTCCTTGCTCAGTGATGGTGATTCAATCCACTGTCCTCCTTCGACTGCTCTCAGCCAATCTCTAAATTGGTCTTCTTTAACATTCTTGGCTCTGATGTCCTCCATTCTCATCTTGCAGCTCCTGTCTAAGTGCCCAATTCTTCCACAATAGTAACATAAGTGCACAAGCTTCTCATATTTTAAATAGACTGTAACCATTGTATCACCCAATTTAATTCTAGCCCATCTTGGCAGAGGTTCATCTAATGCAATAGAAGCAAGAATTCTAATAATTCTTCCCCCTGAACTTCCTGCTTTCGCTATCTGTATATTTTGCACCTCTTTAAACAACTTGCCCACCTTTAAGCCCACCTCCGTACATAACCAGTTCACCGGGACTTGTGCACCTGTACCCACATGTTGATAACCTCGAAGCTCTCATCCGAGCTCTTCAACCCTGCTTTCCACCCTCGAATGATCAGATTTTGAAATTTCAAAAATCCAGATGTTCAGAAATATACAAAGGTTTTCAACCTAGAAGACAATATAAATCAAAGGTTAAGACTAAAAGAAATATACATCTATGGAAGTATCTCTGTCAATAGAACAACATGTTCAGAAACCAATGTCTTTCCATACCGTCACAAGATCACTGAGGATTGTTCGTTTAGATGCAGCAGTGGTGGAGATAACATACAACTTAATCCCTTCTGCCAATTTTTCTTCCTCATCGCCAACCTGACATGGGAGAACCAAATTACGTGGAGAGGGAATGTTATATAAGCCTCAAATACACTTATGAAACACTAGGGATGTATTGTGATGTGACATGGAATTTTTCAGTAAGAAATAACAAATATAGTTGGCTATATCAAGATGAGCATGGACAACTAATCAGACTCCATTACAGTGAATAGACACTTAATTAGCACAAAAAAAAATGACAGTATTGAAAGACACAAAATAAAGAACGAAAACCTTACAAGGTCAATGGTTAGAGGATTGTCCATAAACTTTCTTGCTAGTTTTTTTACCCAACCAGGCATAGTAGACGAAAAAAGCATGCTCTGCCTTTGTGATGGAAGCTTCTCAAGAATGACCTCTACGTCCTCCTCAAACCCAACAGCGAGCATTTGATCGGCTTCATGGAGAACCAAGTACTGAACTTCTCCTAATTTCAGGATGTTATGATTGATAAGGTCTATGATTCTACCAGGTGTTCCAACTACAATATCAACACCACGCGAGAGTGCACTCTCTTGTGTGACGTATGCAACCCCTCCATAGATGCAAACAGTGTTCAAATATGGAGTAGACTCTTTAAAGTGTTAATACCATTAAATAGCCATATAAGTTTACAAAACACAAATTTTGGCTACGTTTTATAAAAACATCTTTTTTAGCCATATTGACAGGTGAAAATACAATTTTACCCCTTACTCAAATTTAACTTCACAATTTTTCGGTTTCCCCCGTTTCAATATTTCACCACTCACAATTTCCCCCCATTTTACATTATCCCACTACAATCGCGTTCTTCTCACAATCGTCATTCTTCTCTGAATTCGACCATTCCTCCGGGCAGCGCCGTTCTTATCTGAATTCGACCGCTCGCAGCTCCTCGCGGGCAAAAAATGGACCGCTCCGCAGCTCCTCGCCGGCAATCCCGTCTTCTCCGGCGAATCGACCACGCCGGCAACCCCGCAACTGCTCCGGCCTATGAAATCAGGTACTACATTCAACTTCTCTCTCTTTTTTTGTTCGAATTAGGGTTCCTGACCCTTATATTTTTTGTTCGAACAAAGAGTACTTGGACGGACAAAGAGTATTATAGATCTGGGACTTCGGCGAGACACCCTCTAAAATCCGACAAAGATGGGATCAACAACTGAGGTAAATAGTTGATTTAGTTGTATTTCTAGCGAAGTTTGTAGTTTCACGAAAGATATTTGGAAAGGTGACTTTTGGATGACAAGTTTTCTAAATGTACAAAGGTTTTTTGTTTAATCTGATTTTCTTTAGATGTACAGCGGCATTCCCATCTAATAATATGCTTTAGGCTGTAAGGAATTAAGGTCTTTGTTTAATCTTTTTATTTTTTTTTTTTTTTTTTACGGGGGAATTGAGGTTATTGATGAGCAACGTGAGCACGAGCCGAGGGTTGGGGTCGTGGGTGCTGAGGGGGAAAGGTGGTGATGGGGATGCCGATGTAATCTTTGAAAGCCTTGATTTATTAGATCTGTGTATTTTGTGTGAGGATAATTGGTAAGGATGATCTCTGTAGCTCGTTTTTTACTGATAATATTTCTAGAAATCTAGGAACTTGAATTTTCGACATGGCGTTCGAATCTATCAGCAACAATATGGCTGAAGGGTCTGAAAATTTTCTGTAGATTTTAGTTCAAGTTGGTGAACAAACCTATATTATCCTATATTTGTCTTTTTGGAATTTGTTGCTATCATTGTTTACTCAGATGTAGTATAGTTGCAGAAAGCCACATTTTAGCTTATTTTAGAAAATAATGCGAAGGAAAGAAACCAATAAAGAAGTTTAATTGCTTAATTCAAAAGAGTTACATGTACTGAATTACTATTCAGGATGTGTTTCATGTGTGAGCATATGGAGAACCTTATTCTCATTTTAGTTATTTCCATCAAAGATGCTTCTTTTTGTTGTTTACATGTGCTCTTTCGTTGACACTCTAATTAATAGAACCAATCACATGCAAAGTGTGAAAATATGGTCAAATGCATAATTCACAATCATCAGATATAATCACATGTGCTCTTGCTGTTTGAGTGGTGTTTGTTTTTGGACTTGTGATTTGCTATCTTGATTAAGTCCTTTCCTTTTTTTATTTCATTTTGGTGTTTTTTTTACCTGCTGAAAATGGTTTATGGTTCTTTGAAAGATTGAATTTTAGTCAATGCTGCTTTTAATAAGTTGTAAATCTGTCTGTATCTTTGTATTCCTGAATTTCTATTTGTTTGTAGCCTCATAACTGGCAGCATCTGGTGTAGTGAAGCATCTTGAAGCTTTGAAGTTTAATGGGCTGATACAATTTATTTGGAATTTTTAATTGTGCCCTAAAGTCATTTTTTTGGGAATCTGTAAGACTATGAATTTGCCAATTAAGTGGTAAGCCTGCCGAGTTTAGAGTAAGATGTGGAAGTTTTCATTAGGTAATCCTAAATGTATGTATCAAATTGGAAGATGAGATTTTTCTGAACAGATTGTTCATAGTGAATCATATTTCGACAATAATTAGCGGTGAACTTTGTGGTGGTTGAACTTGAGTGAACTTAACGTAAAGTAATCTGCAGACTTTGTTTTGGCCCCTTTTTTATTAAGAGTAGCTAGAGTCGTTTATAACTTTATATTTGGATAATAGCCGGTAGCTTCAGGGCTTGTTGTCGGAATTACAGCTTTTCTTTTAAATGTTCTCATATTATGTTTATAACAAGATTCTTGTTGATACTGCAGAACATGATTAAGTTAGTGACGGACCATATTTGCTAAAGTATAATCCGAAATGTCTTTCATTGCTTTAGTGTATTTACAAAAAACAACTTATTTTATTGCTTTAATTTTTGCCCAAAATATATTTTTTGAAATATAATGCTGCAGATATTTGAAGCATTTGGGCTATGACGTTGTTTACGTCTGTAACTTTACTGATGTCGAGATAAGGTGAGGGATGTTGTTGGCTAATGTGGCAGTGGATGCACAAAAACCCTGAGATATTTTAAGAGAATTCCCTGGATGCATAACGGTTTTGTCACGGAATGACGAAAAAATGTCCATGTCCTGGGAAACTTTTTCACTATTCGCGAGGTAAAATAGCCATTGCCTCAAAATTCTATGTCATGAAATCAATTGTCAATTAGTTCATCTGCAGTTGTTTCATTTATTTCCCTTTTTGCAGGTTACAAAGATGTACCATCCACTTGAGCTGAGGTACTTTCTATTGGGTACCCACTACCGTTCCCACTATTCGTCCTATCACTCGAACTAGTATATAATTAAGTGAAAAAATTATCGACTAGATATAAAATTGGAAAAGAAAAAATGAAAGAAGGAAGCAGGGGCATCTGCTTGTTAAATTTCAGATTTGTACATTTGTGCTAATTTATTATAACCACGTCAAATTTTTTATTTACGATTTAATAGATTGCAGAAATAAGCCGTGTTTTGAAACCTGGAGGGATATTTGTTGCCACAACGTACATAGTAGACGGTCCCCTTTCATGTATTTCGCTACGTGCCCCTATGCGTCAGGTATTTAGCAAAACCCCAAAGCATTCTTAATTGATGGTTTTCTCCTATTATCAATAATAGTTTGATTAATTAGTTATTTTAGGTGCAGAGTGTTGCACAAGTGTCAGGCAGTCGTGTATTTTTAAGCGAGGCAGAACTCGAGGGCCTGTGTACGTCTAGCGGATTTGTGAACTTCACTTGCTTCAGAAATAGACTGTTTGTGATGATCTCAGCCATGAAACCTGTACAGTCATAAGAAGCCTCATCTCTTGTTCTATATTAAATGTGTGGTGGATCGGATAGATGATATACATTTGGATTTTGGCCCTGTTGTATTTGTTTATTTAATACCTAGTGATATCTTATATCTAAACGTTTCACATTTGGGATTTGCCTAATTTGTTATCTGCATGTTAGAGCCAAATATGGTTAATAATATTAATATATGACAACAACCTACGTGAAGCTTAATGATCGCTGCATCGATATATCTACAATTTTGTCACATTGTTTGCTTACACGGACACTGGTGGCGATTATCTGTATATGGTGAGTTGAGATTTATATATCATTAAAATTTGGAAAAAAAAAAAAATATCATACAAATATTTATACGATTTTGTAAGGTCAGTGAGAGGAAGACACAGACACATATCGTGTCATCCACGAACAAGTTATTTACCAAATAATGAGGTTGACCTTTAACTCTTTCGTTCAACCTACCTCATATAATAACAATGTGCAAGCAATTTGGAACAATTCGACCAAATTGTGCAAGTCAGATTCACAAGAAATTCTCCATTTTTCCAACTCTCCATTTCCATTGGCTATCGAGAAGTGAAATCGATACTCACACATGTGTCACAAACAATGTCATGAACTCTATTTAAAAACTTTTCATACGACAAACTCCTCAAACGCATAAAGTTCATCTCTCCCTGTCCATTTTTATAGACATTCTCATCCCAAAATCAACTATGCACAATTCTAACATTTCCACACGACATCTGTAAAATGAGATACAAAAGTATTTCAGTGACAAACAATATAAAAAAAACATGTCTTATATATGATCCAATGTCTTATATAATAAAACCAATAAAATTTGAACCAGAATCATTTTTTGGGATCGATTTCTTGTACCAGAAATCATTATGGGATCTAAAAATAATTCAAAAAATCGTTTTTGGGATTTAGGGGATTTCTGGAGTCCATAAACGACCCAGAAATCGTTTCTGAGGTACAGAAATCGTTTTTGGGATCTCTTGCATTTTTGGGGTCCAGAAATCGTTTCTGGGATTTCTGGGACCAGAAATCAATTTCTAGGACCGAAAATCGATTTCTGGAACCAGAAACCATTTATTGGATTTTTGGGATTTCTTGGACCAGAAACCATTTCTGGGACCAGAAATCGATTTCTAGTCCCAGAAATCGTTTCTGTTATGCTTTTTTTTTTTTGTAAAAATAGGTAGTAAGGATATTTTGGTCTTTTCAGATCCCAAAATGGCTAAAAAAGTGTTTTTTGCAAAACATGACTAAAATTTGTATTAGCCATTTGTACATGGCTAAAAAAGAAATTCACTGCTCTTTAAATTCTTTCTCAACTTGCTTAGCCATCTCCCGGGTAGGCGCAAGGACCAGTACTTTTGGAAGCCGACATCGTCTTCAATCAAAATAAATAAATATTATTAACTGGTCATAGTAAGAAAAAAAAAAAGTAACTTTTTAACGCCTGATTTGACATATTATACCTTATAGGAAAACTTTCTTCATCCTGATCACTATGTCCTTTGAGTATGAGAATACCAAATGCCAATGTTTTGCCAGTTCTAGTCTTTGCTCGTGCAATTATGTCTCTACCTTCCAGTGCTGGGACTAAAACAGCCCTCTGCACACATAAAATTAAGAAAAATAATTGGTCATACCAAGCAATAGATGAAAGCTTTTAGCAAAAATATTAATACCAAATGGAATTGAACATGCAGGTGGCATTGATATTGAAATGGTCGGTTTTGCTATGGAACCATCGAATGGCTCGGCTTATGAAGCCATCCATAGTTATCCACAAATGGTATATTGACACGTGTCCTGCAATAAATGCACATTGGACACGTGTCAATACATAAAGTTATGAATTGTTCCATAAGGGAGCCATCCGATGGCTCCATAGAATTACTGTTGAAATGGTAATCCCAAGCAGAATTTGTAAAGAAGAACGGTTGGGAAATGATATGCTACGCATGTCAAAGAACTTTTTGGCAACTGAATAAGAACACTTTCAGAATAATATTATGAGTACGAAGGTTGTTCTATAAAAATTTATCCTATCTTCTTCCAGCCCTTGTTGTGTGCTTAACAGAAATTGTTCTCTCAAACCTCAAAGTTCAATTCTTTTTCCCAAATATAAGAAAAGAAAACAAAAGGACAAAGAAATCCCTTACCTACATGAATTGCTTACTTAAAAGGTCCCCCTTTTCAGAAAAAAAAGGGGAAGATAATAGAAAAATAAAGAATAAAATCATTCCTTAGAGCATCTCCAATGCTCAATGTTGTAGTGATAAATTACATTCCACATTAACACATTTATTAACATCACAACTTTTCATTCTCCAATGCACAATGTGATTATAAATGTTGTGGTGATGTGGACATAATTAATGTCTACAATGTAGAGAGGAATGTGGTTCATCCACATTCTCCTCCACACTCTAGCTAGCCAATGAAAAGAAGAGAGAGAATTATTATTACCATTTTTAAACTATTTAATTATTTAATTAATTTTATTAATTTATATTAAAATTTTAATATATGATAATATAAAAAGGTTTGACATTTACCAGAAATAGCAACTGAATTCCCGCCTAAATAATTCATTTTTACCTTTATTAGTAAATTTTTTAAAAAAATTTGAAAAGAGGCGGACATTTTTTGAAATTTAAATTAAAAAAGTCAAAATACAATTTGAAGAAAATTCAATTAATTGCGGCGTGTTGGCAAATTAAAAGAGTTCCTATTTGGTATATTGTGGGCTGATCAAGTAATTTATTTATGGAAGCAAATTCATCTACGGAAGTTGATTGACGAGAATTTTATCAAATAAAATCACATCACAAATAAATTAAATAACATTTCATTCCATATTAAACACATTTTAACAATTACAACAAATCTGCCCACTAATCAAAACAGCCTGTCCAAGCCACCTCATCACACGGTATCCACTCTATACGGCATATATTGAGCACCGTATGGAAATTCTTTTATGAAAGAAATCTGCAAATATAAATTCTACAATTTATGGTAACTAGATTTATAATATTGTTGTGCAATTGCTCAATTTCCGGCGATTTGCTGTGGGTCAAAGATCTTCCAAACTTCCTTTGTCATTGTGCAACAAAATCTGCAACAATCATATTCATAAATATAGATGGCCGCATTATGGTAAGATATATTCTATTGAATCAATTTATAATATTTATTGCCTTTCTTAAGATATTTTTCTTTTTATTACTTATTTATGGCACTAAACTAAAATACACATTGGCCTTCTCCTATATATGCATTGTTCATTGAATGTTGTTTACTCATCATTTTCTCGATTTTAGCTGTTTAGTACACAAACCAATCAAAAATGAATCAGCTAGAATTTGGTACGATCAGTCAAGTAGAGAGAACAAAAAAATTACCAATGAAGCTCCGTGTGATTAGAATTATTTCACACAAGTTTGAAGCTGCGTGGAAGAATTACGAAGAAATCCTTTTCCACGATGAAGATGTAGTTTCGGAACTTTGTTCTTATTTGTTTATATAATTTATATTACTTTTGCAATGAAATAATTCATGCACTTATTCTTACTTATTTTTTTTAATTTTAGGGATCACGTGCAACTGGCATCCTACGAGCTGCTCATATGAAGAAATGGATCAACAAAATCAAGGAAGGAGAAGTTTATGGAATTAACAAATACCAAGTGGAGAACAACTTTGGTTCATTTCGACTCGCACGTGGTGAATTGAAAATTGTCATCAACGGTAATACAAGTTTTGCTAGGTACAAAGGTGACTTCCCGAATTTGCGATTTGATTTTAAAAGCTTTGGCACTCTCCGTTTTGGGGCCCGTCGAGATCAAAGTGTGCTCTTTGGTAACCTCTATTGCTATCAACTATTATTTAACTTATTATTTACATTTTTCGTATGGATAATATTATAGATTAAATATTAAATTAGGTAACTTATTTATATTCATCATTTTTTTAATAGATGTAATTGGCCTGGTGGTTAAAATTGGAGCCGTTCAAATGAAAGAGGTCGATGGCGTTCCAACGAAAATGATTGTGTTTTCTCTTATGGATCTAGAGTAAGAATTTTTTACATTTATATATTTTGGATTTTGTGAAAATCGACAACACCATTTAATTAAATAATTGTTTAGGAGAAACACTATTGATGGCACAATTTGGGGAGATTTCGTTGATCGACTTCTAGATATTGAAAAGGAGTATGGCAATGATCGTCAACCGTCTGTGCTAATTATGCATCTTTGCCGAACTAAGCCTTGGTCAGGTATTTATTTTAACATATTAAATCATATAAGTATTCTTCGATATTAAATCATATAGTTATATTATATTTACACGTTATTAAATTTTCTTTAATTATTTTCGAAAATAGATTTACACATTATTTTATTTAATTTTACATGTAAATTTTTATAATATATGTTAAAATGTCAGAAACAAAATCAATTAACAACTTCAAGGAATGTTACAAAACTACTTGCGGGAGTTGGTATTCCCGAGATTCGAGATTTCATTCGAAGGTTAGCTTTTAAATATTAAAAATTTGAATTTTCACCAATTAAATTTATATAATACTCATATATTATAGATTTAATAATGTAGGTTGGATGAAAGTAATATGGGCGACGTACACTTGGTCTCTCATAGTAGTTTTTTTGTGAAAGATGAAATCGACGATTTGAAAACTGGAGATGTAGCCGTCACTTCTGTTTATTCTCTTTACTAGATTGAAGAGGTAACTTATTTTTGTTTAACTATTTTATATTATGCGATACTAGTATTATATTTTGGATATATAACATTTTTAATATTATTATAGACTCCTGGAACTTGGGTGTGCGGAACATTTGAATCTGTGATAGATGACTGGTGCTATCTAGCATGTCGAAGGTGCAGTGGCAAAATGGAAAATACTGATGATAAAGTGGAGTGCACCAAATGCAAGGCAACAGTTGGTATTTATCGGTAATATTTCTTTGTTTTTTTTAATGATTTGATATGTTTTGTACTTAATTATTACTACATTACTAAAACAATAATTATTCAATTAATAGCTATAGGATCCGTTTTGCTGTTTGTGATGATACTGCAACCGCAACATTAATCTTATGGGACCGGGAGTGCGAACGAATCATTGGTAGGCCGTGTCATTCATTGAAGAGTGCCTTAGTTCAGCAGGTGAAATACTTGGTATTAATTTAGTCGTTCAATTAATTCATATTATTTTACATAACATAGATAATTATTTATTTTGTTTAAATGTGAAACCCCAAGAGCTTTGATTTGCCGGAGGAAGTGGATAATTTGGTCGGCAAAACAATGTTGTTCAAGGTTAGGGTACAACCAGATAAGCCTGGAAATTATAGAGCTGCTTTCTCGGTTGTTCGAGTTGTGCTAGACAACAATTTGGTGTCCAAGTACAAGACTTGGGAAGTTAAAAAAGAGGTGTGTATTTTTTTTATTTTTCTTTTGTTTAACGCATATCAAAAATTATATACTAACTTTTTCATTTTCAATACATTTCAAAGTTCAGATGCTAACTTTTTTTTTATAATTATTATTAGGAACTAGATTTCATGACACTACTGCTTGGGGAAGATGACAATGGGAAAGTAATAAATTTTAATACTTTATTTATGTTTTACATCATCTTATATTTTTATGATTTGAATTTAATGGTATAATATTTTATTTGTGGGATGCGACTATTGAGGATGAAATTATAAGTCCCATGAAGGTTGTTCAACAAGTTGTTCCTGTTGGGGAATCATCAAGTGTCAAACGCAAGCTTTGGGAGGAATTGGATGCAGAAGATGAAAAAACTGTTGTTTTTGCTGTGTCCACGACTATTGACAAGGGGAAATCTAAACTGTTTGATGAGGATGAGGAGTAGTTGGCGCATTACTATTATAGTTATTAATAAGTTTATTATTTAAGGATTACTTCTCATTCTTAGGGAATTTAGTTAATGCTATTAATAAGGTACTTAGTGAAGTATTATTTCTATTTGTTAGGAAATTTATTAGTATTCGGTTTATGGTTATTGGGATCTTCGTTGATTATGGTTATATAAATAAAATAAATGAGAGCATTTAGCTTCCAATTTTTATTATACATTCTTACGGCTTATTTTATCATACCACATTATTTGCTTCTGTTTCGTGCAATTACCCAATTTGCTATTTATAATAACATACTTATCTCACGCAAATTAATAAAATGAAGCAAATAGATGCGGCAACATGTTAATAAAATAATGAATAAAGGCAATGAAAATAGTGAATGCGCTTTAATAAAATAATGGCGGCAACATGTTATCAAAATGTGGTGATCTGTCATGCGTAAGAACTAATGACATACTTCTATAGTTATCCAAATTATTAAAATAATATAGTTATTATAAATATTAAAATAAGATAGTTATCCAATGCAAATTACCAAATTGGATGCTCACACGCATTCCTGCTCTAACACACACACACACACACACACACATATATATATATATAGGGGATGGATCCAATGAGACCACTCCTTAAAATGAGTACGTGAGACTCAATCTTAGCCACTCATTTTGTCTAGATCAAAATCAATTAAAATATACATTAATTAAATATTAAAATAGTTGACCGTTGACTCCGGCGTTGACTGTTGACTTCCGGCGTTGACTTCTGGCGAGAATCGTTGACTTTCGGCGTTGATCGTTGACTTCCGGCGTTGACCCGTTGTATTGAAATAAATAACCTAGCAACAAAAGACACTCAACCTTGAGTGGTGTAGTGGTTGCATTGTTTGTCTTGCGTCCATGAGGTACCAGGTTCAAATCCTATGGGTTACAATTTTTTTATATAAAAAAAATACAACTAAC